ATACATACATTAAATTACACACTTGCATGGTACCTAAGTGTCTGTTTGTCTACTAAATGTCTGTTTATCTGTCTGTCTATTCCTAGTATATAAGCGTTAATACTATGCGATATTATTAAACTTTTCAAAAACTTTCTACTTGTGTGAGAGAAAAGAAAAGAAAAATAAAAAAACGAACAACAACAACAACAACAAACAACAATAACAACAACAACAACAACAACAACAACAAATGGGTAAAGCGTTAGAAACGAATATTTAGACTGGTATTAACGTCATGGTAATGTTCGTGATAAAAAAGAAAAAGAAAAAGAGAAAAGAAAAAAAAAAAGAAAAAAAAAAGAATAAATAAGAAATAAACAAAAATAAATCAACGAGCGAATAAATGAAAGATGGGATTAATGTAAAATAAAAAAAAAATGGAATAGAAAGGAAATGAATAAGAAAAAGGACGATCGGCTGGAGAACTTGGAGGGTGGAGGAGAGAGGGAGGGAGGGTGGGAGGGAGGTAGGTAAATAGGTAAATAGGGAGATCGATAGAGAAAAGACAGGTTAGTAGAATGAACATTAAAAAAAAAAAAAAAAAAAAAAAGAAAAAAAAGAAAAAAAAAATGTGTGATAAATGCTTCTAATTAGACGCCGACGATGTCGTGAGTTGTTGTAATAGGGTGAACGATTTGAGGTCAAAAAATAGAGGGATTTGTTACGAATGGATTAGAAGTAATGCGTGGGTTAACAAAATAAAGGAAATAGAAAAAAAAAAGAAAAAAAAAAAAAAAGAAAGAAAGAAGGGAAACGAGGAAGAAAAGAAAAGAAAAAAAAAAGAAGAGAGAAAAGAGAAGAAACAAACAAACAAACAAACGTAAAAAAAAAAAAAAAAAAAACAAAAAAAAAATAAATAAATAAAGGGATTATTATAAAATACGCTGCGTTCTTTAAGCAGAATTAATGTGATTAACTTGTGCCACTTGTATACCGCGAGATCTTTATCGAACTAACTAACGTTTTGTCGTCGCGGAACGTTCATGAGATGTAGTAAATGTGAAGAAGACGAAAAAAAGAAAAAGAAAAAGAAAAAGAAAAAGCGAGAAAGGAAAAGGAGCGGTTGGGAATAGGGGGGGGGCGGGAGAGTAGAGAAAGATATAAAGAAATTAAGGAGATAAAAAGTAAGGAATAAAAACAGGATGAAAAGGTCAAAAAATGAAAAATGAGAGAAAGAGAAATAAGAATCGTAAAGGGTTGTGAAAGTGCGGTGGGAGGGGAACGGTGGTGGTGGTGGTGGTGTTGTTGGAAGGGATAAAAAATAGAAAGAGATAGAAAGAGAGGGAGGAGAGTTAGGTGGAAATTTAGGTGAATTCTTAGGTATACTTAAATCAATGAAATTTCAGTGAGTTCTTTCTTCCATTCGCGATTATTTTAGAACAAAAATTAGAGAGAGAGAGAGAGAGAGAGAGAGAGAGAGAGAAACGACGATGATATCCAGCCAAATATCATATCAAAGTAGTCAGTCAATTGGTAAACAAGAGCAAACACAAAAAGTAAAAAACGAAAATGAAACAAAAAAAATAAAGAAAAAAAATGAAAAAAAAAGGAGAGAGAGAGAGAGAGAGGGAGGTGCAAGATTAGGGTGCAAGGTTAAAAAGTAAACGGGGGAGGGGGGGGAATAGGGGAGGGAAGGAAATTAAAAAAGAAAAAGGGGAAGAGAAAGAAAACAGAAAAGAGAGGAAAAAAAGTCCCGACGAAAAAAAGGCCGGGAGGAAAAAAAATCGAAAAATGTTTTGGCTCATTGGTTAGTTGATATATGCGATTGCGGCCCCTTATGCGAATTTTGTTCGTACCTTGTACTTATGAAAAATGATAAATAGAATGATAGTATGTGTGCGTAAGTAATGTGCGTACCATTGTATGTATACGTGCCTGCCTGCGTGCCTGCCTGCGTTCGTGCGTTCGTGCGTGCGTACATGCGCGCGCACGCGCGCGTTTATGTATGTGTGACGTTTGTGTATGAGTGCGTCTGTGATAAGGAAAATCTATTAAAAGGATTAGGAGGAGGAGGCACGCTTTTATGGTTTTCCATGTGAATTATTATTGTAATTATTAATTTATCTTACGAAATGTAACATAATTGCGGTCGACTACATACGAGTGATTGCATGAACTGATATATAACAAAGAGAGAGAGAGAGAGAGAGAGAGAGAGAGAGAGAGAGAGAGAGAGAGAGGAAAAAGGAAACAAGAGGAAAAAAAAGAAAGAAGAAGGATGGAAAGAAAAGAAAAAAGAGAAAGGGGGGAGGGAGAGTAAATGAGAGAGAAAGAAAAAAAAGAGAAAGAAAAGAGAAAAGTAAACAAATAAACAAATAAATAAGTAAGCGAAGTTAAATAAATATATCGAGATAACTCTATGAGAAATTGGAATGATTGATGGTGTATTGTATTTATACGATAATAGAAAGAAAAACGACTTAGAATTTAATGATCTTTCTCGTCCTATACGGCAGCGTCCACTTTTATGCGCTAACACACACAGAATCATAGTTATGTAAATTGTAAAACGTTTTCCGTCGTTTTTAAACAAAATGAAAGAGAGAGAGAAAGAGAGAGAGAGAGAGAGAGAGAGAGAGAGAGAAAGAGAAAGAAAGATAGAGAGAAAGAGAGGGGAAGCAAATAATAAACAGAGACTGTAATCATATATTCATACATACATACATACATATATGTATACAAATATACGTATATACACACGCGTACACACATACACGTACATACTCATGTATATACACATATATATGTATATGTATATGTATATGTATATGTATATGTATATGTATATACATATATATATATATATATATATATATATATATATATATATATAAATGAATAATTTTCTCATTTCCGTCGAATTTGTCAGGAAGCATATCAGTGACTCCGCAATGTGTTGTGTTTCTAACACTTGTTGTGTCAATTAGAGAATTTGAAGATTTTTTCTAGAAACAGAAAAGAAATACATATGCGCGTAAAGAAAGAAAGAAAGAAAGAAAACGAACAAAACAAAACAAAACAAAACAAAACAAAACAAAACAAAACAAATAAACGATATTTCAATAATGTCAAGACTTAATCTTCTTTCTCTTTCTATCCAATTTCTTATCGTACGTTATCTCGATTCGTAGGACAACGGTTCCGTTGACTTTACCTCTGTAAATTGCCTTTACGAACTAAAAAAAAAAAAAAAAAAAAAAGAAAAAAGAAAAAAAAATGAAAAAGAAATGAAAAAAAAATACAAAAAAAAATGAAAAAAAATGAGAGAAGAAGAAAAAGAGAGAAAGAGGGAGATTGAGAGAGAGAGAGAGAGAGAGAGAGAGAGAGAGAGAGAGAGAAAACGAAAGAAAGAAAGAAAGAAAAATAATTGCCGTTCGTTCTCCTCGATCGACAAAATAATAGTCGATTTAAAAAAAAAAAAAAAAAAAAAAAAGAGAGATTGTGATCTCTGAATTTGATGAACGATCTTAGCCGTGTTCCTTTCATACAGCGCTACCTACGTTTAGAAAAAACAAAAAAGAAGAAACGAAAAAAAACAAAAAGAAACGAAAGAAAAAAAAAAGGAAAACAAAAACCAAAAACCAAAAGAAAAGAAGAGAAAATAATTAAATAATTAAATAATTAAATGAATAAATGATTAAGCAAAAACACAAAATAAAATAATTATAATAATAATAATAATAATAATACTATTACTACTACTGCTGCTACTACTGCTGCTACTACCACTACTATTACTATTACTACTACTACTATTACAACAACAACTACTACTACTACTACTACTAATAATAATAATAATAATAATAATAATAATAATAATAATAAAAGAAGATGAAGTGAAATAATCGTCACAAAAGAGAGAAAAAGATCGGAAAATTTGCCCAGTATTTAAAAGACAACCAAAAAGAAAATGGGAGAGGAGAGGGGGGGGGAAGAACAACAAAGAAAAAACAAAAAAAAAAAAAGAAAAGGAAAAAAAAGCGATCGATCAACGAATCGAATTTTTCATTCGGAAACGACCGATTATAATCGGTCTCCGATGTTAAATAAATAATTAAGTAAATAATTAAAGAAAAAAAGAAAGAAAGAAATTGTAACGTGTACGTGCATGTAAATTACGTTTACATAGAATTATTATAATTGTGTACCTCCAATACAAACGCATACGCTAATAATTTAAGATTATAATGGCTGAGAAAAATACAATAAAATATGGCAAGAAAAAGAAAAGGGATGGAAAATGCGAAAATAAATTCAAGGGAAGGAGATGAATATAAAACAAAGTAGAAGCAATAATTCTATGGCCATTACATTGATTATTCTTAAGAAGAAGAAGAAGAAGAAAAAGAAAAAGAAAAAGAAAAAGAAGAAGACGAAGAAGGAGAAGTAAGTAAAAAAAAAAAAAAAAAAAAAGAAAAAAGAGGAAATAAAAGAGAAAGGAAAAAAAGCGATGATAATTTTTAAGTAAAAAATATAAACCAAAAATATCGACGCCAATGCTGAAAAAAAAAAAAAAAAAAAATTATGATCCTGCGCGCGTTCACTCACACGAATAAACATTAAAGTTTACAAACACTTTTGTACATTTACACTTACATTCATACAAACACACATACGTACACACACACATACACACGAGGACCACACATATACATAAAATAAAATTATATTAAATTATATAAATAAAATAAAATTATGTTAATCATTGTATACGTAGAAATATATATTTATATATATATATATATATATATATATATATATATATATATATATATATATATATTCTCATCTTGAGTTACAGGTCAAATGAAAGTGAATTCGTGAGATGTTTGAAAAATGTTGAAGAGAGAAAGAATGAAAAAAAAAAAAAAAGAAAGAGAGAAAGAAAAAAGAAAAGACAACAAACGAACAAAAAAAAAAAATTGGAAAGAAAAAAGAAAAAGAAAAGGAAAGAAAAAAAAAGGAAACAAAAGTATAACGAAAAAGTTACAATTAAATTTGTAGTGTAATAAAATTTACAAAAAAAAAAAAAAAAAAAAAAAAACGATAACAACAACACACACATAGACAAGATAGAGAAAACGGGAACGATTATCTAATTATTTGTTGGCAAGAAGTTTATGAAAGATGATGCTACGCGAATTAAATGCGTATGTATATAAACGAGCAATTTTACATATTTAAACGAACTATTATTTATTTCAATTAAATTATATACGACGCTGATTGAATTATATAGAACGTTATCGGTTTTATTAATTATTATTATTATTATTATTATTATTATTATTATTATTATTATTATCATTATTATTAGTATTATTATTATTATTATTATTATTATTATTATTATTATTATTATTATTATTATAATTATTATTATTAGGACAATTTGAAGATCCTCTTTCCTTTTTTTTTATCCCGAGAATGAAATTCACGGGATTAGATTTAAATATTAAATTAAACCTATAGTTAAATTTGTCATTTCTTTGTTTTTTCTTTTAATCAATTTTTTTTTATCGATGATAATTTACAAAAAAAAAAAAAAAAAAAAAAGAAAGAAAGAAAGAAATGAATAACCCCATATATATTTGTTCATGAGTATTACAAACAAAGAAAATTTTCGTAGGTTGA